ACAATGAAATCCCTAAACATCCAGCTACTGTGATAACAGGATGAACACCCTGTAAATGATGTGTGTACTTGGAAAAGCTACTGTCTATAAAATGAAGCGGAAGAGTGTTCTGATCAGCTAGCAGGAAGTTCTGGCTTGTCAGTAGCATTGGTATAACTGCTGTGAGGGAGGTACAGAAAGTGCATCTAAAGCTAACAATTTCTGTTAAAAAATCACAATATAAATTACTGGTACCAGAAGAATGCTGATTTTTCAATAATGCCCTGTCAGTGTTGGTGATACACCAGTGCATATAGAGGTGTCTGCTGCAGGGAACACACAATGTAACAGGTATTTCTCTCCCCCTCTTTCTTTCCTCCTCTTCCCTCTTTCTCCCTCTTCCCAATAAGATCTGCTCCTGACACTAGCATATTTTCATGTGGGTTGGAATGCTAAGGAGCACATGAAGCTCATGTCATTTTCCAGTCTTTGCCAGATCATGACAGACCTGTATGAACTGGGGCCAAGCATTCCAAAGTTTGGAAGAGAGCACATCCACTGCAATGAAGTAGCTTGAAGAACCATGGAGTTGGGGAGGGACACACAGGGTGCCTTTCTGCAGAAAGTCAATGACTAAGGGTTTATTTATTGACAGCTTGGAGAAACATTTTTACTAATTAGACTAGGTGGAAAAATATATTAAGCCCTGAAGAAATAATGCTCTTCTAATATCAGATCACCTTGCTATTAACTTCAGCTGGAGCAAAACCCTTTTTTTGTTTGCTGCTTGAATGCAAAAAACAGTGCAGAACTGCTAATCGCATTTTGCCTAAAAGGTCTGCATCAGTTAATGACTCCAAAATTATCTGTCATTCACATTAAGAGATGAGCTGCTAACTAGAATGCAGGAGTATTATAAATTAGCTAATTTGTTTATTTATTGCTAGTTCTGCAATTAATACGAGGTTAATTCTTTCAGAAGCTATTAAGCCTGGAGCAGCTGAATGGTTAGGAGGAAATGGGGGGTGATCATTAATATTGATTTTACACACGAGAAATGATCTCAAGAGAGCTTAGCATTTGAGCCTATTTCATTAGCTGATTTTATTAGCAATCTCAAGACAGGTTTGTATTCAGCCAAATTTGAAATGGCTGATCATTTCAAAATCAGAGAAGGCAGGTGGAATCACAAACTACAGAATGGTCTGAGACATGTTAGGGCTGTAGGCTGCATACAGCAGTGGGAAAGTCAATGCTAATTAAATAAAACCCTGTTTCATAGCCAAGGAGAAGATGAACTGAAGCAGGTCAATAATGAGAGGACAGGTACAGAAAGGGAACCAGTCAGAGAAAAGCCCTGGAGGACAGACTGCAAATGTTCAAACTAAACATAAGGCAGAAGTTGTTTGTAGCGTGTAAAGAAAGAAAAAGGAGACTACACCTAAAGATAAGATAAGTACTTTTGTTTTCATGACATGGGACAGATGCACACAAAATGTTGTATATGTAAAGAAAGAAAAAGGAGACTTCACCTAAAGATAAGATAAGTATTTTGTTTTCATGACTTGGGACAGATGCACACAAAATGTTGTATACAGTTGTCTTCCTCACTTGTCTTTTTCCTGCATGCTTATGCCTTTTTAGCTCAGTGTTGTTTTTCCAGACAGAAAATACAAACTGAGGACAGAAGGACAGACAGACAGACTGATAGTAAAGGCTGGGCCTGCTGTGTTTCCCCACAGCACAGAGTCTGTGTCCCCAGGGCCTGAATCTGCCACTCAGTGATGTGTGGTGGCTCATTACAAAGCAGCATTTGACATAAAAGTCGAAAGAAGAAGTTTAAAGAAAGGCAGCAGGTCCCATGACACATCCATGGGACAGTTCCAGTTCACATCAGGCCATGAACTCCTACGTTCATGGTTTAAATCTCTTTTTTCCTCTGAAGCCTTGTACCTAAAAATGAGGTGAACTATTAGATAAGTCACCAGCTCCTGGTACAAGGAGCTAGTGACACAAATAGTGGCCAAACCTTTGTGGGTTACTAAGCCATTGATTCACAGGTCAATCCCAATTTTCTCTGCACCTTCTCATTTAATAACTTCACTCACAGGGTTTTTTGCAGGAAGGTGTTTTGTTCTGGAAACCACATTCTGCTGTTTCACATTCAGAACCTGTGGTTTGTGCTCTTTAGTCAGACTGGGATTTTACTCTGCACCTCTTTGAAGGACACACATTCTCTCGTATTTCAGCAGGTCCTTAGAGACTTTCCACAGTGGAACTTCAGGGGACAACTTGGCAGGCTGTTACAGAAATGCAATCCTTGCCCAAAATAACTGAATATTGAAAAAAGAATCATTTAGCTGCCATTTATCTCACTATTAATCTAGCTCAGATACTAGTACAGGATCTGTTACATACAAAATAAAATATTGCACATCAAAAAATGTATCTCCAGTAACACCAAAGCTGCATGTAGCTGAAATGAAGCCTTGATCTTTTCTGTAACCAGCAAAGATCAAAAATGAATCCTTGTTTCATTTCACATCATCGGTGCTACAAACCCCCTAAAGTCCTGGATGACTCCTACTCAAAATCCAATCTTTTTTAATGTTATACATAAAGACCTACTAAAATATATTGTGTTGAAGTAGATCAATTTGATTTCATGCTATTCCTGTTGAAGTCTCTGTTCCCCAGCAGTTTTGTGTAACTATTACCAAACAGCTATGTTAACAGTCAGGTCATTCTCTTGACACAAGTTCTCAAGAATACAAGAAGAAAATAAACAAGCTTAAAAAAATATTCAGAAGTATTAATTATGGAAAAGTATTTGAACTTGTGCAAACATTGAATTTACAGTACCAAATTCTCTGTGATAATACTTGAAGCCAGCACTACCATTGCACAGGTTTAGGAGTTTATCTTGGAAAATTAGGAGAAGTGCAATTAATTGAAAAATGAGTGGTACAGAGACTCACCCCCAGCTTACTCTTATAAAAAAGTTTCTGGACAGGATTTCCTCACTGACATATGTTTTGGTGTCATATGATCTCAATTCTTGCCTTGGTTATGAAACACTTTTTCCATTTCCACTTTTAAAAATTCAATTTATAAAAAGAAACAATTAAAAAATCAGTCATGTATGCAAAGCTCAAGATATCGGATGCACAGCATTGTTATGCACAATTCTGGGGTTTATATAGCAACTAGTTGTTTAAGAACTGAGAATAGAAACAAAACAAAAATAAAAAATTATCTCTGCTGGGTACACTCTGCTACTGAAACCCACCCAGAATAATTTGTTAATTCTCACATATTTTGGTATTTAGTTCTTCACCCCTCCTTGTCCCCCTTACTCCCTCCCCTTTTTCATTCATCAGCCAGTCTAAATGTTACTGCCAACATTCAGACTTTAGGTACCTTAGAGGGGAGAATTTATTGTCTCACTTGGCTGTACAGCATCAAGAATAGCAACATCATTTGACAGCAAAAATAGCCTCCCAGAAAAGTATTTTTGTGGACAGTATGTATCACTTTAGACTACCCTATGGTGTGCCAGGAGTGTGAAAGTCCAGCAATATTTTAAAACATGTACTAGTTTAAAACAAAAAAATTAATTCCCCAGCCAAGCAATCAGGTTTCATGGAATATTTCTCCTACATTTAGATGAGTCATTCAGAACATGAAAGAGCAGAGGCAGCATCAGCACAAATAAACATAAAGATCAGAAGGGCAAAACAGCCTGGGAGGTTGTGCTATCCATGCGACCTCAGTGCATACTATCAGCTGGGCAGGGACTTGCAGCATTTCTCAGATGACAGGGGACATTTATCATCAAAATAACTTCAGGAACACTTTTAGTCAAACAGTTTCTGTGGGCTCAAGATAAGATTGCTTTTGCTGTCACCACCTTTAATACACTGGGATATGTACTTCCTGAGCACACAGCCTTAAGCAGGTAGATTTCAGCAGTGCCTGGCAAAGAGCTTTACACATGCATCTCCAAGCAAAAAGCACTTAGCACTACTTGAAAAAGCCTTCTGCATCTCTTTGTCTGTGCAACTCTTCACAGAAAAGGCTCTTGAGAAAACTTGTTAGAGAGAAAATGCACTGCAGTGCCAGAGGACAGAGGATGCACACACACTGGCATACCCTGAGACAGCTACACACTCACATCTGCCTCGGGTGGTAAAGTTCTGAAAGAAACAGCCATTCTTGATAAATACCTTAATTGTCTCAGGAAGGTTAAAGTGTTGTCTTTTCTCCTTTAGTCGTCTCAGCACACTGTCCATGGTTTCTTCTACTGAGGGAGCTGGTTCCATGCTCGTAGCCTCCTGTGTCACAGCCTCTTTAGAGGTCCCTGTGCTTTCACAATGATCATTTCTTTGGGATGCTGTGGAGGTACAGTTTTGCTCTTCTGACATTCTGAGTTTCAGCTCTGAAAGGCAAATTACATGGGAAGTAAATAGATTAGAAATATTTGCAAACAAATTTCCCCTGACACTCCTAGAAAAGTACCCCAACCAACAAAACAAAACTTTCCTCCTTCTAGCATACAATTATTATCGTACCACAGATATGTAGGAAAACAATTCTGCTTCACTCCAACATGTAACATCTTTTACCTGGTTAACAGGAAATCCAATGGTCAAGGGGCAAGATGTGCCCAGGACAATGAAACTTACAGCACATATGTACTTTTCTCTTTTCTCCAAGCCCATCTTTGACGTAAAAGATGAGGACCAAAGAGGCACTGGGTTAAGGAGTGGGGTCTGCATAGGAATCAGTGCTGAATTTTAGTGGGAGTGAGGTTGGAAAGGGGCTTAAAAGGACAAACAGAGAGCAAATATTTTTGGGAGGGGAAGAGAGGTATATTGAAGCAAAGCTCACTCTTTATCTTTCCCCTTCCTCACTAAACCCATGCACTCTCTGGATCACAGAATCATCAAGGTTGGAAGAGAACTTTAAGACCATTAAGTCTAACCATCCATCCAGCCCTACCACTGGGTATTGCTCCAGATGCCTCTTAAACACCTCCAGGGATGGTGACTCCACCACTTCTCTGGGCAGGTAAGTAAAATCATGCCCATGCCTGCTATGGGGATTGCTGGACTAAACCCATGCACTCTCTGGATCACAGAATCATCAAGGTTGGAAGAGAACTTTAAGACCATTAAGTCTAACCATCCATCCAGCCCTACCACTGGGTATTGCTCCAGATGCCTCTTAAACACCTCCAGGGATGGTGACTCCACCACTTCTCTGGGCAGGTAAGTAAAATCATGCCCATGCCTGCTATGGGGATTGCTGGATGTAGTTTCACAGATGCCTTCCTAAGCAAGAGGCAGTGTCTCTGCAGCCACCTGCCCCCTCTCCTCTGAGCTGTGCTTCCCTGCCCTCCTGTGAGGAGGAGAGTGGGAAGGGTTAGGGATGCTAAGCTATGCCACCATGCCAGCAGCCAGACTGCTGGAGCCATGTACTCCAGATCTGCATAACCAACACAACCCTCTAGTGCAATTTAAACTGTCCCTCTCCCTTTCCAGAGGCCACACTGCCACCACAGCCAGGCTGCCAAGGTGATGCTCACAAGGAGAATTGGCCACTTTCTGCAATGGCTTCCCTTGGCAGAAGAGCTCCTGAGCAACCCAGAAGACAAGTAAGTTACAGTGTGTCTTAGCTTTCCAGTCAGCAACCTGTCTGGATATGATGAAGTATGTAAGTATATTAACTTGACACCAAGTCAAAGACCCTGGGGCTCTAGGGACCTGCATAGAGCAATGAGAAAACTGAATTAAAATCTGAATTATCTCCCATAAAAACAGGCTTTGTTCCGTGCATATGCCTGGCTGGTGAAGGACCTTGGGCAAAGCAGAAGATTAATGGTTCCAAATGTGTAAATTTGTTAAAATCTGTGCAGAAACAGTAACATAACTTTTTTAGCTGTGACAGTCTGAGGATATAGGCCACCTTTTTAGGGAAAACCAGTCATTTTTAGTGAACTCACAGAGCTAGAGAGGATGGACAAGCCTTGTGAACTTGAAGAAGGACCTACAAGCACTTCAGTGTTTTTGCATTTCATTTGCACTTGTCATGTGGACCACATGAATCTTGTTTCACTTACAAGCAGTGCCATTATTCAGGATAATAAAACCAAGGGTTGTCACAGGATCAAGGCATTTTGGGTGTGAAGGTGATCTATAAAAACTAGACCCCCTAAATAAATAAATAAATGATGATGTTAATAATCAATAGTACTCAAGGGAGAACTTTCCAGAAGTAATTTACTGAAAGATGAGTTCCTAATTCTTTACTTACCACAATGTTACCTTCTAGACCTACACTATTAGCTATATCCAGAACAGAGATGAAAGAGAATACTACAATTTATTTAGTAGTGAGAATCCATTTATAACAGGGGAAAAAAATAGATGTAGAGAAGTTATAAATAGTCTTTTAAAAAAAAAATCAATCAGTCTTGGCTACATTCTCCCTGAGGGAAAAGATGTAATATACCCACAGACATTAATGGAGTGGTGTGCAGACAGTCAAGGGCAAAACCTGACCCTCAAGGTCAAATCTAGTACCAAGGAAAGATCAGGTTTTATGATTTAAAAAAAAAAATAAAATCTTTAGAGATGTGTATCCTCAGTCCTAAAGAAACAGTTGGTATTGTGCTATTAGAACTAACTGTTCACTTCTGTATTTCAGACACCCATAAAAATATTCAGACTAGCATTGCCTTTTGCATGAATGTTTATAGTGATGAGGGAGAGATGATTTTTTTCATCTTCCCTTTCTAGCCTTGAACTGGCTTACTTTAATCCCTGCTTTCTGCCATCAAGGCAAATCATAGTACCTAACATCTTTGTTGCCATTGGGAGACTTATTGCCATGCACTGTGAAAAATAAGCAGAGTGGTGAGGTTAGAAAACTGACTCTAAAATATTCCAGGTACACTCCTACTTCCAAAAGCTTCAGCAATAAAGGCAAACGACCTGCTATTATGTACCTTTGAGCTGCTTACGACCTTTGGCCAAAGCATTCATCCATTTCAGAACTTCAGGATTGGAAGTCTTGTCACCATGAGAAGGCTGAATGTAAAGAAAAATGTTAAGAATAGAAAGAAACAGAAAGAATTGACACTAAAATGATCAAACAGATAAAACCCTATGCACACATAGTGTGCTACAAAATGTCCATAGTTCCAGCTGCACTATATCGTGGTGTCATGCAGAGCATTTAGCTTGATCATGGCATGAATTTGTCATGACTTATCTCTCCCCATTGTGGCACAGTGCTACATGGATCTGAGTATTTTGTCTCTAATCCTAAAAAACCCACACATTTAAGCCTCTGACTAACTGGGTATATAATCTCAGTGACTCCAAAAGGACTGATCAAATAACCTAATTTTAGTCAGGTTCCCAAGTGATTTCCAGGATGGCAACTGAAGCTCTCTGTTCCTTGCTGGGATAAGCCCTTACTGCTTTAAGACAGGGATTCTCTTGGGAAACAGCACTTTAAAAGTTTCAGCTGAAAAGTAACAAACAACAAAAGCTTTGTATATCAATTCTTCCTTTGCATTTAGAAATGCCTCCAAATGAAAATCAATTTACACTGGATCTTCAAAACTCACATATTTAAAAAAGCAACACAGTATTGCAAAATTAATCCTCTGAAATAATTTCTTTTCTGGTCACAGTGGTCATATATTTAAAAAAGCATAACAGTATTGCAAAATTAATCCTGTGAAATAATTTCTTTTCTGGTCACAGTGTGAGGATTGTTTAGGTATGAAATTTTACTCCTAGGAGCATATGATGACCATAGGGACATACGATCCGCAAGTTTAAGTTTTGGTCTTCAATAGGATTACAAGTTAATATACAATTTGCTTAATTTGAATGTAGTCAGAACATATCACAAACTTCTCTGGTTCATGTAGTACACATCCTTAGCATCAGGGTTTGGTATATTTATACTGCACAATTCTTACTACACAAACTAGTTCAGTATGAACAGCTGCACAGTGCTCACCACTGACCTCAAACAACTCCCACCAGCAACCAGCAGTTTTACTCCTCTAAATTCTGTCATCACCTTCTATTGAGCTTCAGAGGTTTACAGGACTCTGCCTGAATGAAGGGATCTGCACAGCAGAGCAACAGTTTCCAAGCAAATGACTTCTACAAAGTGAATAGGTAGCTTTTCATCTTTTGCATCATTCTGGTTCAAGCCTGTCAGCTACATTTCATCGATCCACACTCCTCAAAGGTGGACAACAAAGGTAATCCACAGAAAATGCAAATTACAGTCTCAGAACTACTGCATGCCCTGAAAGATGCTGAAAAGATACTCACTCATTGAACTTTTTCCTTTTTCCTTTTACCAAAAATACTCTTTGTCCTATCAGTTTGCACAAGTTTAAATACACTTGGATTCCTGCCTCCCTCTTGTACTATTTCCCTTTCCAATTACAATCTCACCAGATACTTTTTCTCTTGCTCAAACTTTTCTTCATACTTCCTAATTTTTCTCTTGAGGCTCTGAAGATGCTTGGTAAGTTGTGTTACTGTCTGTGGTTCCTTGCAGTCTTCACAGTTACATCTAGAAGTACTTCTTGGCCTGCAAAAGCAGAAAGTATAGTTGCTGGACCTAAGAACAGGCTATAATGAACCATGGCTTGTTTCAGGCACATTTAATCCTTTCTTAGCACTTCAGAATTCACAGCTAAATTCTTCCACAGGATGAAACAGTTTAATTTTACAAAGTGAGCATAGAATATTTCCTTTTTCTTGAAGATATCCCCAGGGTATACTAATGAGTTCACCATCTGTCTTTCACTCTCTCTTTTTTTAATTTCTGAATAGTTTTCAAAAATTTAATCTAGTAGGTCAGAACTTGATCCAGTATTTACATTTAACACCCACATCTTCATTCACAAATCTTTTAGATATAATAGGAGGCTGTAATGCCATAAGTTGTAGAAGTAAGCTTAGGGAGTTTTTCCTTACCAGGAAGAAACATCAGTTTGAAGAAAATTTATTTCTGATTTTTTACAGCGACAAATCAATATATCTAATTATTATCCATATGCAGCTGAAGCTATGCATGTAAGTTTGTAAGTTTATTTTCTGTCTGAAACTCCCAGCTTGGTTTCTCAAGATGACATGTATGGACTGCTGATATATTTTATGACACTATCATATCTAGTGAATGACTCAAGCTATAGTTCTTTCACAGCTGAAATGTTTAGCATTATACCTTGATAGCCCTCCCTATCTTATGTTCACTCATCACACTAATTTCTAGCTAACATTTAAAACTGTCTTTGCTAACTATAATTAACAAAGACAATATTGTACTCTGTTACGACTGAGGAAATGCTAGTTCCTACGTCTGGTATTGCAAATTGTGCACGTCAAAATTTGCCACAAAATGAAAATTTCCTGTTTATGGCATAACAGTGACTGAAAAAAATCATAAAGAGTCAAAGGCTGTGGATTGTAGAAAAAGTTTTAAAAATACAGAAGAAGTAAAATACATTTTCTTACATCATGAAAGGTTGAGCACTTGGTGGAGAAGGGGCAGACTCCGTGTCTAGGTTAAATCTCTGGCTTTGGCTAAAGATAGAGCAGCGTGGTGACAAAAGAGGATTGTCTCCATCTGTAATGTGATAGAGCAGACGACTGGTCCCTAGGGAGTGGTGTTCCTGTGGGCTGCTCTCCATGTCATTCTGCCAGTCTCTGCGTGCTGGCACAGGCTCTAGAAAGAAAGTAGAAGTTAATGTGGACTGAGGGTCACACAAGGGATTTAGCTACTTAGGTGAATACAAATCTGTCCTTACAGAAGTATTCAAAGCATAAGTATTCAAAGTAAACAGCAAACAATTCAGCAAAGTATCACATGCAGGATGAACCTAGGACCGAGCATGAGAAAACAGAAGCACAGTTACTGGCTTAACAGAAAGTATTTTTGAGTTCCGCAGGAGATGGGTGTGTTCATAAACTATGAAGCATAATATAAAGATGTCAGCCCCATGGAGAAGGAGTTGGGGGTGGCAGCTGATGAAAAACTCAGCATGAGTTGCAGTGTCTGCTTGAAGCCCACAAAGCCAGCAATGTCCTGGGCTGCATAAAAGGATTGTGATCAGCAGGTCAGAGGAGGTGATTCTTCCCCTTTGCTCTTGTGAGACCCACCTGGAGTACTACACACAGTTCTGATGTCCCCAGCATAAGAAGGACATGAAACTGTTGGAGTAAGTCCAGAGGAGGCCACAAAGCTGATAAGAGGACTGGAACACCTTGCCTACCAGGACAGGCTGAGAAAGTGGGGGCTATTCAACCTGGAGAAGAGAAGATTGCTTGGGGACCTCATAGCAACTTTTCAATATCTGAAGGGGCCTACAGGGAAGCTGGAGAGGGACTCTTTCCTAGGAAATGTAGTGATAGGACAAGGCGTAACGGATACAAATTGAAAGAGGAGAACTTTAGGTTAGATATTAGGAAGATATTTTTTACTCTAAGGGTGGTGAGACACTGGAATAGCTTGCCCTGGGAGGTTGTGGATGCCCCAAATCTGATGGTGTTCAAGGTCAGGCTGGATGAAGCCTTGAGCAAACTGCTCCAGTGGGAGGTTTCCCTGCCCAGGGCAGGCTTGAAGCCCACAAAGCCAGCAATGTCCTGGGCTGCATAAAAGGATTGTGATCAGCAGGTCAGAGGAGGTGATTCTTCCCCTTTGCTCTTGTGAGACCCACCTGGAGTACTACACACAGTTCTGATGTCCCCAGCATAAGAAGGACATGAAACTGTTGGAGTAAGTCCAGAGGAGGCCACAAAGCTGATAAGAGGACTGGAACACCTTGCCTACCAGGACAGGCTGAGAAAGTGGGGGCTATTCAACCTGGAGAAGAGAAGATTGCTTGGGGACCTCATAGCAACTTTTCAATATCTGAAGGGGAGGGGCCTACAGCTGGAGAGGGACTCTTTCCTAGGAAATGTAGTGATAGGACAAGGCGTAACGGATACAAATTGAAAGAGGAGAACTTTAGGTTAGATATTAGGAAGATATTTTTTACTCTAAGGGTGGTGAGACACTGGAATAGCTTGCCCTGGGAGGTTGTGGATGCCCCAAATCTGATGGTGTTCAAGGTCAGGCTGGATGAAGCCTTGAGCAAACTGCTCCAGTGGGAGGTTTCCCTGCCCAGGGCAGTTCCAACTCTACTACAGGTGCATTAAATTACTACCTACTGTTGGGAAGTGGTAATCAAATCATTCAAACTGATTCATTTATGTGGCCCAATTACTATAACAGTGGAGCATCTCAGAATGATGACCTTAGATGATCTCTAAGCTCCATTCCAACGGTTGGACCTTAGGTGATCTCTAAGCTCCATTCCAACCACTTAAAATATTATGAAACTATTAATTCTAACCTAGCATCTTTCCTCTAAGTACTTCATACTTTTTAAGTCAACTTCAACTCTCCAAGATACCAGAGCACCACCCAAATCTCCTAAATTATGTATGAGAAAGCATCTGAGAGAAGCAAGGCTAGAGCACTGTACCAGTCATGGAAAATCATGTATGCTGACAACATATAGGGATAATGGTTGGAGTAATTGCTGTTCTGCAAAAAAAAAAAAGTGTTATATCTTTCTGGCAAGTACTCTTTCCTTACCCTGTAAGACTTCAAAAACTTAAGTTTTGTTTGAGTTTTGGTCTGGTGGTGATGGTTGGGTTTTTCCTTCTGAAAATGAATATTGTCACTGAGAAGAACCTGACTTCCTTTCTTTAATTTCACCACCTTTGAACTTCAAGAAATATATAATCACTGTGAAGGAGGTTGACTAAGAATAGTTTCACAGTTTCTCATGCTTGTTATTATAAGGATAAACTCTTTTATGGACATATTAATTAGCAGTCCCTTCACTGTGAGAGGAAAACAATGTGATAAAGAGGTCAGTCAGTCTAATGGTAGGTGCACAAACCAACTTTTCAATGTTTGAGGTCTGGTTTCCTGTGGACCTAGAAGTACTCCTCTTGCAGGAGACAGCCTGTACTGCTGATAAACCACATGGTCACAGACATTTGCTGCTTTTCACATTGACAACTAGGCAATTTTACTAAGCCCACCCTAGTCTCAGAAATGGAAGAAAAGTGCATATTCAAGACTAAACAGTCCTGGAATATAAATGCAGAGGACAAGTAGTGGCTGGTGCAGCTTCAGTGTAAAACCAAACACACAAAGTTCAAGGAGGAGTTTTATTCAGCCAGCAAATGAAAGGGAGACAACCTGCATGCCAGATGAATTTGGGGATATTTCCCTAAGGCCAGGGCTCTTCCATTTCCTTGGCACCAGGGTTTCCTGACAGCATTGCTCTGCTAAAAGTTGCACACTTGTGCAACTTTGGAATGGCTCTTTCTGGGGGTTTTAGTTCCAACTCTACTACAAGTGCATTAAATTACTACCTACTGTTGGGAAGTGGTAATCAAATCATTCAAACTGATTCATTTATGTGGCCCAATTACTATAAGAGTGGAATATCTCAGAATGATGACAAGTTCTATCCAATCCCATTTTTAATTAAAACGTAGGGCAGCTGATTCCAGTTCTGCTTAGATCCTAAACATGGTACTAAGCATTATCCTGAGAGTAGCCCATGAACTGACCAAACATCTACCTGTGTGTTCATGTGTCAGATGTAATTTTAGCCTCTACTTTTGCCAAAACTGGGAACTAAAGCCACATCTAGCCAAGCTAGTAAATTGCCCCTTAGCATCTACTCCATCTCATTTGCTCAGTCCAACTTAGCACTGATAGGAGGGCACCACAGGATTTAAAGCCAACTTCTAGTATCTTATAGTATACAGCATGCATCATAAGGTGGACTCCAGATGACAACAAGTCCTATGGTACAAGTCTGTATTTATGGCAGAGATATTCTTCAAGGAAAACAGTAATACACTGAGATCTCTTGCATAGAAAAAATAATACACAGATGTAGTGTGATCATCCCTCAACACATTATGCCTGTAAAAGCCAATATCAGGATTTTTAATTTAAAAGCCATTTAGAACTTCTTATAGCTATGTTCAGCTGCTCACTGCTCATCACATATCTGATGCATGCTCATATCCAAAAGCTATAGAAATTACACTCTGCTTTTCTGGTGTTTTCCCCTTCAAAAAAACTAGCTTAGTAACCCCTTGCAAATCTTTATGGTCTCACTTTGGCAACTCTAATTCAGTTTTCACATATTCAGAAGGAAACTGCAAATTGCTGACTTTGCTCAGAGAGGTTACTGTTCATTCCCTCAAAGTTTGCATACTGAAATACTCTGTCATTTTACTAAGCTCTTCTACCCTCATTTACCATACATATAAGGTACACTTTTCTAATTTTTGCTGACTGGGCTGAAAATCATGTTTATATGAAAAATAATACATTTGTACACTTTTAAGATTAACATTTTTATTGCCTGATTCACTGAGGAAAGGCTAATATCCAAAGGTGCATCATATAGGGTGCATCTTCTAAAAACTCTGTTCCTAGCCCGAGGAAAGGCAAATATCTAAAGGTGTATCATATAGGGTGCATCTTCTAAAAACTCTGTTCCTAGCCTGGTTCAAATCTCTGCACTTCCATCCAAGTTTGGGCTGAAATAACCAAAAGTCTCATGTGACAACTCTACCTAAACTCATTGCATTGGAAGATTTCAGTAGTAATTTAGGTGACAGAATTAGTACTGGATCTGTCTATGCAAGATGGCAAGTTACTAAGAATACCACAAAGCAGGAACATTAAAAACCATTCAATAGGTAAGCTTTAGCTAAAGCAGGAGTTTGAACTGCTGGAGTGAGAGACCATGCTCCAAACTGTGCAACAGAAATGCTACATCATGCAAGATTTCCCTGTGCAGCTGCAGAAGGGCAAATAGGAACAGGGAGAGTAGCAGAAATCAAGGTCACTAACAGCATGAATTAAAAGAAAAATCTAATCAAAACATCAAGGGAAACAATTATGAACCATCCTAACAATGAATTATGAAGCTACCAGAACAAAATAATCCAGTAAACTACTGGAAAAGGAGGAAAACCCCACCCTGCCATAAATGAAAAGAATCAGTGCAGATTTTGGATGAGCTGCAAAATGTCTCTGCCTGTGCAGCACAGATATGAGACCTGTCTCTGCCTCAGAACCACACCAAGGATAGCACCACTGCAAGTTCCATTAACCCTATCCAAGAACTATTAAGGCACTTGCCTAGCTGGGCTAAAGCATTTTTTTTTTTTAGCTAAAACCCTGGACATTTAGCATTTTTACATTCCTCCACCTACATTTCATCTTTCATTGCTTACGTCTACATACCTTTTTCTTTAATTTTTCAAACTTTAGGATTTCTTAAGAACATCATCATCGGTGATTTATTTTTTTTTTTTTTTTGGGAA